AAAATGTTTGGACTGCTGTGAACAAACGGATGCAATGCTAATGGACTGTTTTATTCATCTGCATTGTTGATTTTCAAGCAGAGGAAGCCACTATGCAAAACAAAATAAAACGAAAAGCAGTTCTATGGCTACTAATTAGAGAACTCTGGCTTGAAATTTGCATTTGATGCAATGGATCTGAACAATAAAGTAGCACGTTATTCTCAGGGAAAGAAAGCGAGTGTGTAAGCAGAACAAGTGGTTGATTTCCTGTTGCAGCCTCACTAGAATGAAGTTTTCAAGATCCCTGGGCCTCTCGGAAAAAGAGCAGCATTTCTCAGAGTAATTATTCTGGGTGTGCGTGGGCTCTTGTACAGATGTCTGTGTTTCTAACAGCTTTTTCTAGTGTCTCAGCAAGCCATTTATAGTGACAAAACAATGCTATAGCTGGACTTCTGGGACATCAGTTCCCAGATGGTAAATGACCAATATTTGCATTATTTCAACCTCATGCTAGAAGTGCACAAATAAAAATGCACAAATAAGATAGTTGGGAGAGAAAAGATGGCCCTTTGTTGTGGCATCTGAATTCCAGTACTGTGTAGTAATAATAAATAAATAAATATGTAGCATCTTCAAATTATTTTACATCCATTAACTAATTCATCCCCACCATGCTTGTGACGCTGGTAACTAAGTAACCAATTTACAGATAAACTAAGAGGTTAAAATCAACATTTTCAAGCGTGGGTGGCCAAAAGTTAGGCACTTAAAGCCACAATAAGGTATCTAAGTAGATGAATTGATTTTCCAAAGTGCCAAACAAGCACCCTTTCAAGTCAGTGACTTGGAACCTAAATACATTATTTTCACATAGTTCTTTGTGTGTAATTTCCTAGGTTTATTTAAAAAAAGGAAAGCCCAAGTTTTTTATGTACAGCTGTATCAACCACCCCATCATGTATCAGCAGCAAGTTTTGAACCTTGAACTTTTACCACTGGAGTGCAGATATCTACCACTTGAGCTCCACAACTGTGTTTGCTAGTAGCAGGAGTAGGCTGTTACTCTGGCAGGGGATGGGCTGCTGAGGCAATGTGCGGGATCTGGGGGGTAGTCAGTGGGAGCTCAGCCTGGCTCTGTCTCTCCCACTGAAGTAGTGGATCTCCAGCCCACGTGGTACCCACAAAGGAGGAAAGGGCTGCAGAGACGGTGTGTTGGATCTGGAGAGGTGGTGTGGGAAGCCCTGCTTGACTCTCTTCCCCTTCCCCCCACCTGGAGCTGGGGGATCTCTTGCCCATGTGGTGCTCTCAGAGGAAGGTCATGTGCCGGATTTGGGGAGAAGGCTCCCTTCTTTTCCTCCCCCATTGCTACAGCTGCTCGGGCACTTTCCAGGTGTTCCCAGTGCAGCATGTGCTGCTGTTGCAACTTTGGCCCACCTGTTCAGAACGTTAACGTTCAGTTATTATTTTGCCATGGTGCCAGAATTTTCCTGAGGAACACAAGCAGCGGAAAGCAAGTGATGATTTTCAACCGTTTATAACTCGTCCAAATTTGAATGAAATTTCATGGGGAAGTGAAAGGCCTGTCTCTAGCTTCAGGGCTCTGTCCCTGCTGGATTTCTAAGGTTTGCTGCAAACAGTAGAAGTGTTCGAACTTCTCAAAAATGGCCACAAGAATCTTTTATAACGTAAAGTGTTAGGCAGCCTAAATATAGGGGTTGCTGCCAGCTTCCCCTATAATATTCAAAAAAACTTTTTGCTGATTTTTATAAGGCAGTTGGAATGAATTACCAGTGTCCTGCAAAAATAGCTGTGGATGTATTAACTTTTCCATTTTTTGTTTTATTATTCCCTGCTGTTGAAGAACTGTAAGCAAAAGACTCCGAGGCTGATCCTCATTAAACCTAAAACCCTTTCCCACCGTTCTGGCAGTAGAAAAGGCCCTTAAAGAGGGTGGAAATAGAATTACACAGTAAGGTGGACTTCGGTGTAAAGGGGCCTTAGTGGTAGTGAGTCAGTCCCTACGTGTTCCAATTGCTGTTTAAAAAAAGAAAACCATGTGGAAAGTAAACTCAGAATAATTAATTCAGCAGCAGGAGCGGCAGCAAAGAAACCCGATATATTCATCAATCAACACTGGAGACCTGTTTGTTTGGACTAGTTAGAGAGTGATGAATAGGTCCTCTGTTTAAAACATTCAGCTACAGTGAGAAAGGGTAATAAATTATATGTTTGTTAATTGTATATACCATATGTATAGAAAGCACAAAAAATTGTTAATACACTGTAACAGTGACAGACTCTTCTAACGCCCTAAGAGCCTTAACTCATTACAGTTAAACTATACTTGTGGAGACCTCAATTGGTGTTTCCTGGTGTATCGGAGGTGGGAGAAGCTTGTCTATTACACACTCCAATGCTACAGGGATGAGGGTGGTATAAGAACTTATATAGAATAGAATGTAGTGGTGTGAGTAGCGGAGAGCCATAAGTTCAACACTGTGTTATGCTGTGTTATAATGAGTTATGGGTGATATGGAAGTGGTCTTGTCATTTGAACACTCTCTGAGTATATTTCTCTCTTTTCTGCTGACAAGATCAGTCAAATAAGCTCCAGGCTTCACTGCACTTCTTTGTCAGCAGCAGTAGCAGAGAGAGAGAACAGCCAAAATAGGACTGGCATAGGAGAAGACCAGAAATGTCATTGTATTGTTTGGGTTTGACACTGCCTTGTCCCATGATGATCTGTGGGACATGGACCCACAGACTTTGAACAAGATCCTTGCTCTTTGTGACTTGTGAAGGTGAACACTCTATGGGACCTATTTTCAATGTTTCTTTTAAGAGGAGCAGAGAGCCAGCTCAGCAGAAATATGTCAAAGAATGGCTGAAGAAACCCTCACTGCGCACTGAGGATCTAGTCTCAAATCTCCCTTTTGGTGGAAGGTGCTGAAGACGTTTACAGCTGGGCAACTGAAGTGTCCTCCGGATAGAATTCTCTGGTGTGCTCCAATCTGGTTTCAGTCCACAGGACAGCCTGGAGCTGGTCGGAGCAGGTTTTCAAAGTCCATCTCTGAATTTTACAGCTTAGGTCTGTCTCTCATTTCTTTGATCTATTTTAGTTTTCAGCTACAAAGAAAAGCTTTGATCAGCTTCAAAAGTTTCCTTTTTTGCCCCACCTTGTTCCATCAGATGACTGTGCTGTTGTAAAATTTTGTACACATTATTACACCCATTTATGTTTCAGTCAAGGCAAAATGGATGCGAATTCAGTCTAAAACACGAGCTTACAAATTGAAGTTGCTTTTCAGAAATCCTTACTCTTTGGTCAGCCTGTTTGTATTCTCGAGGGAGTTCAGAATGTAAAATAATCCAAAGTCATGTATTTATAATGACCCTAAACTAACAGTACAGGATAAAACACAGTTGGGTTTTTTGTAAATCATCTCAGAGGAGATGAACGGTTTAAGAATTTGCTTCACTTTGCATAGACTGGCTTTTCTCCAGCATTTGCTCCTCAAGTCAAGGCAGTGAGGAAATGAGTCTAATGTATGAGAATGTTGCCATGTTGTTAAATGGTGGTGTAAAAGCTGTGCTTACTTCCATGGGAATGAGAACCTTTGCCAAAAGTGAGATGCCTAAGCTTTCCCTTGGGACCACGTCCTAGCATGGAATAAATGGAGGAAGTTACTGTGAGAAGTCAAAGCAGGCAGCAGTAATGATGTGGATCTGTGTAAGTGTATGTCAGTAGGAACAGAGGAGCAGCCTGCAATTCTGCTCTTCGTGGCACATGTGATATCAGTTTAAAAGTTCATAGAGAGAACAGCCGCCTGTACCTATCTCTTTGTGGCCTCTGTGTCAGTGCATACCTAACACGTACATTTCTGACCACTGCTCTGTTTTTTCAAACATATACTCATTTCAAAGGGAGCCAGATTCTGCTCTCTGTTACGCCATTGTGCAAATCCAGAGTAACTCCACTGAAGTCAGTGGAATTACTCCAGTTTTGTGCATGGGTAAACAGAGAGCAGAATTTTGCCTGTGGCCTTTGGAAGATTTGAATGGGCTACTAAGTGTATTGCAGTGATCTGACCAAATCCTCACCTGGTGTAAATCAGCATAGATCCATTGATTTCACTGACTCTAGGGAGGGGACTCATCATCCTAGTCTACACATTCAAAATGGCTTTTTTAAAATACAGAATAGATGTGTTTGATTTCTTTTAAATACAGCTCATTTCAAACCCCCGCTAGCAAAAAGGACTTTTTTTTAGTTATTTTTATTTGATTGGAAGAGGGGAGAACTCATTAACTTTGCCATTTTGAAAGCCTAGGACTGTAGCTTAGCAGAGCACAGACTAATACTGTTCATTAAAATATGCATGTTTGATGTTTGAGGTAATGCTTCCACAAATCCTCAGGGAGATGATTCTGCAGAGCTAAAACAATATTTCTCACAGCCAAATGGCACAAATTCATTAATAACGTTTTGTGATCAAGATGAAAGGTACACTTAGTAATTGCTGAGTATAAACTTATTTTTCAAATATACCCTTATTGCCCATGGATAATAGACTGATGTAGATAGTTGCATTTCATCCTTTCCTCTCCCTCCTCCCTCCCCAGACTGGTTCACCAGCAATTTCTGTGGAAGAGGTTTAAGGAATGATGGGAATTTCTGTTTGGCCAAATCCTATCATTCTGCTGGCACTTATCTGGCATTATAAAACAGACAGATTTGTTAACTGCAACCCAGGGATGTGAATTTTGCTCACAGGAAATGGCATTTTAAAATCTTAATTTCTGTCCCCTCCTCCCCCCAGTGTCTGTTTCTAGTCTTCCAACAAGATAGAAACAAGGAACAAAACACACATGAGGCAGTAGGTTTCGTTTTGGAAAATCAGGCTGTAGATGATAAGCTGCTTGGGGGTTTAAAGGAGAGTGAGAAAATGTGCACGTGCAATAAAATCATAACTATCCTACCCATTTATTTTGACCACATAGTCTTTGGGGAGAAAAAAAATATGGGCATGCATTCAGTGGTGTTACATTACTCTAACTAAGATAGCATCTGAACCCTTTTACTGCCAATAATTTTGAAATGAAACTGCAGTATGGGTAAAGCTTTGAGCCCTCTGATGGTCTGGTAGTTACATACTGTGTTTTACCTACCTAGAAGGTTTGACTAAAGAAGAAAGATAAATAACACCGTCCTTAACTTGACTTTTTTCTGCTACTTTATGGCTAGCTAGTCAGAGTCATAAGTGAAGCCTTTAAATCAGGAACTTAAACCCTATTCCCATGTCATATATGAATTTATGGCTCTTCAGCAATGAGTCATTTGTTAATATTTCTCATATTGTGCTTGTTCTATATCCTTTATGTTCACAAATATGAACACAGGGGGCCCAGTCCTGCTCCCAGTGAAGAGGATGGCAAAAATCCAGTGAGAGCAGGATCAGACCCAAAATGTAGCCCAGGGATAATGTATTTCTGGAAATGTTACGGTGCTTCAGCTAATGTAAATAGTGGCATAGGGTTGTCTACAGGGAAAATAATGCTGCAGATGTTCAGATGATAGATTTTCACTCGTCTATGCTGTAACCTTATAATTCATGATGCAAATTTTTTAATTTTCATTGTTAAAGAAAGATTTATTAGCCTTTATAAACGACATACCTCAAGGCTGTATGAAAGATGCGCATGTGAGCAAAACTACTCCAAGTGGAGTGTGAAGCTAATGGGGAAAATTCTGCTTTTCACCAGTGAAACAGCATTTTCAATCATCAGAGGAAAAGAGAGACTGCCTGAGAGCCTACTTTGCGTCACTTGGTCTTGATCTGAGAACTTTGCCCATGTGACCAGAGGTTCTCATTGTCACAAGTTTGAGTCTTGAATCAAGATGACCACATTCTCATATACACTAAGCCACTTTTATGCTGTCCTGGCAGTGTAAAGGGACCTTAAAGAATGTGTAATAAATTACAGTTAAACCCACTCCAAGGCCTTTTTACACTTCCAGAGCGGTGAAAAGATGCCATAGGGTATATAACAATTGAAACCATGAATTCCAAATATACAGTGGGACCAGCTCTCAGTTATACTAGGTCCCCTTTGCAGTGGCAGTGTAAAGGGCCCTTAAAGTATGAGCCCGTTACATTAACCCCACTTAAAGCCCACTTTAAACTGCCAAAGTGACATAAAGGAGTGTTAGGGTACATCAGAATCAAATAGCATGTGATTATCACAAATGGGGGGGGGCACATTTTCAGAAGTGCCCAGCTGCCCCCAAATAAAGTGGCTGGATAGCCACGAGTTCTCCTGTAGAGAACAAGAGCTGCTGGCTGGGCACTTTGAAAAATCTGTCCCGCTTCCTGCAGAAGCCTAAATGAGAGCTGGTGGGTGTGGAGCTGGTGTGAAAATCTGGCCCTGAACGGTTACGTTCTTCTGGGGTTTCAGAAGAGCCTAGGATCAGGTGTTTGAGGGCTCAGTGCCCAGCAGCTCTCAGAGAGTCTCCTGGCTACATTTTCAAAAGAGCTCAGCAGTTGACATGCACCCAACACACAGAGCTCTTCTGAACATCTGTCCATATATATTGGTGCGTAAAATGGAAGTAGAAGTCTTTTGGAAAAGCTAGCTCACAGGATTAATAGCTGGTGGATTTCTTCTGTGCATGGCTGTCATTTAAAAGTAGAGTTTGAACCAAGGCGCCGACTCCATGGGTGTTCTGGGGCTCAAGCACCTACTGAAAAAAAAATAGAGGGTGCTCAGCACCGGGAGGTCTGGATTAATCTTTTGTGGGCCATGGTGCCTGGACCATGGCCCCATTCCCTGCTCCACTTGTGCTCCTCCAAGAGGCCCCTCCCCGCTTGGCCTCTTTCCAATCAGGTTCCGCCCACTGCTCGCACGGGGGTGGGGGAGGGGCGGAGAGGAGCACCCACCAGCAAAAACAAAAGTCAGTGCGTGTAGCTTGAGCTATCAACACATGTAACAAAGAAATATTTGAGAAGGAAACACGTACCAAAGAATATTTACCTCTGTTTAAACCTTTGTTTTAGGCCTGGTCTACACTAGGTAGTTACGCAACTTCAGCTATGTGAATAATGTCGCTGAAGTCAACGTACTTAGATCTACTCACCGCGGTGTCTTCACTGTGATAAGTCGACGGCTGACGCTCCCCTATTGACTCCGCCTGCGCCTCTCACTGCGGTGGAGTACCAGAGTCGACAGGAGAGTGCTCGGCGGTCGATTTATCCCATCTAGACTAGACACAATAAATCGACCCCTGCTGGATCGATCACTGCCCGTCAATCCTGCAGGTAATGTAGACAAGCCCTTAGACACACAAAGGTAATCCCAGAGATGAATTTGGCCCAATACAGGATTTCTGCAGTTTGTAACAGTTCAGTGCACTGTTGACTGGAATATTGAAGTTGATGACTAGAAATATAATATGATTCCAGCCCTGGGCAAAGGATCTTTGTCATCACATAGTGGAATTGTCATGGGATGCAGTTATAGTTATTTCATTAGAAGCAGAGCTAGCAGGGAGAAATAAAATAAAGAAAAGCAGGGAGAAATAAAAGGGGAAGGAGAATAAAATTAACTTATTAACTGCATAGGCCAAATCTCCATTTGTGTACCAACAAGAAAGGCTTTTGCAAGAAAATAGTGTAAGATAACCCAATTACGCTACTCAGTACTGTTGCAATATTAATGCAAAGGCCAAAGTTCCATGGGTTTGTATTAAAGTATGACTATAGTTAGAAAAGTGAAGATGTAAAAAAGGCACTTTCTTACTCAACTGATCTGGCCCCAGTGTGCACTCAAAGCAGGGTGAGCAGATGTCCTGATTTTATAGGGACAGTCCTGATATATGGGGCTTTTTCTTACATAGGCTTATTTCGTATATAATATTTTCTTATTACCCCCCAACCCCGTCCCGATTTTTCACACTTTCTATCTGGTCACCGTAACTCAGAGTCATATCTACTTACTTTACTGCCACAAACAAGTCTTTACTATTTTTTCCCCTCCTATTAGCAATGCAGAACAGCAACATCTAAGGGAGAGCTGACTAGATCAGTCTGGCTCTCACGTCATCAATAAAATTGGTAACTATGTTCAGACTGCAGAAACTTTATTACTGCTGGTGATGCATAGGCTGGAAAGAACACAGTCTGACTTTCAAACCTCAGGTGGAGTTGGCATTGCTGACAGCTGGGAAGCTTTGATGTGTGATTCTGCAATGAAAAGTAAATCTGAACATGGCCTTGTGAGGTTATGTGTTTTTGGCTTCTCAGCGACTCAGAGATTTAAACCATTTTTAACTATAAAAATGAAATGTCTCCCCTTTAAAAAATGTCACTTGTATGCAAGACCTGAATCTACTGACGAACACCAAAGACCAACAATAATGTCTCAGCATACTGTGTTGCAGTGTTTAACCGTGCGTTGCAGAGTCAGCATCAGAAGGAGTAGGAGCAGAATGACAGTTTAAAAGGATTTCCTGTTAATGGATATTGAAGTTTAAACCCTGTCTCTGAATACCTACCTTCCATAGCCACATAATTAATCCTAACCAAGGACATTGTCCGACCCAAAACAAAGAGAATAATATTTTTAAAAATTGAAATGCCTTTCTAAAAACTTTCATTATTTTAAAACTGAGTCTTATCCAAAGTGCTCTCAAAAGTTACAACTATAATTTAAGATGGTTACATTTTTATTGTTATTTGTCATGTCCCAAAATATGCTAGATGTTATGCTAAATCTCCCATTGACTTCATTAGACTCTTGATAAGACTGAAATGCATGATGAAGTGGGTTCTAGCCCATGAAAGCTTATGCCCAAATAAATTTGTTAGTCTCTAAGGTACCACAAGGACTCCTCATTGATTTCGCTGATACAGACTAACACAGCTACCACTCTGAAACCTGTAACAAAATGGGTTCCTGTCTTGAAGAGCTTATAGTATAAGGCCCTTCCACAGACATTAATGTGTGCATTTAACGCTGCTCATGTGAGGAGTCCCATTGCAGTCAGTGTTTGCAGGATCAGAGCATAAACACAACCGTTAGGGTACTATTATTAATTATTATTATTATTATTATTTCTTAATAACATTTATATTTCAGTAGAAGCTAAATGAAAACCAGGTCAGGACCCCATTGTGCCAGGTGCTAGTCAAACATACAGTAAATAACGGTCCCTGCCCTATAAAGCTTACAATCTAAAGATGTGGCCACATGTGTACTCTCCTTACTAAATGAACTTATATCCCCCAGGAGTTACTGTATATTCGTGTGTACAATCTGACTCAGCTACAAGCTAAGATTTCGTTATCAATAACTAAACAGAATGACTCGTGCAAAAGTTCACCGCCATTTCTGTATTCTCGTTTTTAGTGCAAGGTAGAGCAACAGAATTGCTCAGAGGCTGTCTGTCTATCATCACATCTTCTTGTATAGCCCTTGTATAGCCCTTCAAGAGGGGTGGGGAAAGGTGTCCCAGCCAGGAGGATTGGAAACCCTCTCCAAGGGTCCCCCTGGTCTGGTTTAATCTGTTCCTCCTCAATGCTCAAAGAAAGAGCTAAATAGGCTTCATTAGGAGCTTCTTTTGTTGTTTTAAATGCTTAATCAGAGCTGAAATCACTTGAGATGGGGCAGTGTTTCAGCCTGCAAAGAGTTGTAAATCACTGAGACTGATGTGCAGAGGTCACAGCAGTGGCTGGAGAGGCGCAGCCAGTGGCCAGTAGGCGAGTGCCCGAGCAGTAGAGCGAGTAAGATGCCTCCTTACCTCTACCCAGGGTGGAATTTTTTTTTAATAACTTTGTGGGGGAGGGACAGCTCAGTGGTTTGAGCATTGGCCTGCTAAACCTAGGGTTGTGAGTTCAATCCTTGAGGGGGCCATGTAGGGATCTGGGGCAAAAATTGGGGATTGGTCCTGCTTTGAGCAGGGGGTTGGACTAAATGACCTCCTGAGGTCCCTTCTAACTCTGATATTCTATGATTGCTATAGTATGAGAACACTTCTGTGTGTCAACTGTATGCTCCTATTGCATGCATGGAATTGCCTGGCTCCTCCTCAGTTTTGCCCTCTTGATTTTAGTGCAAGATACAGTACCAAGAGTTCTGTAGCTTCCGATAGCTTCTGCAGCTTTGATTTAAAGTAATCCCAGGCCTCCTCTACCTTTAGATCCATAAGTTCTTCCTGTATCTTAGCACCTGGAAGACAGCATACCCTTCTATTCTATGGATCAGCTCTGGTTACAGGCCTGTCTATTCTTCTCAGTAAAGAGTCTCCGATCACATAGACCTGCCTTTTCCTGGTGACGGTGCTATTATCCAGTCTATCATCCTCTGTTCCCTCTGGCTGCAAGTTCTTTCCATTCCTATTCTCCCTTGTAATCCTCTTCAACCCATCCTGTATCCTCCTGGGGCTCATATTTGCTGTAGTCTCCATTGACTCTTCCCCTTTTCCTATAGGACTAGCCGCTCTTCTCTTCTTTCTTGCCCTTCCACCTTCAGTGATTACCTCCTCAGCCCCTTCTTCATTTTCCAACTCTGCTACTGTGTGCAGAAGCTATCGGAAGCCTGCATCCCAAGAAAGGGGAAAAAAATCATTGGCAGGAGTTGTAGACCAAGCTGGATGAGCAAGCATCTCAGAGAGGTGATTAAGAAAAAGCAGAAAGCATACAGGGAGTGGAAGATGGGAGGGATCAGCAAGGAAAGTTACCTTACTGAGGTCAGAACATGTAGGGATAAAGTGAGACAGGCTAAAAGTCAAGTAGAGTTGGACCTTGCAAAGGGAATTAAAACCAATAGTAAAAGGTTCTATAGCCATATAAATAAGAAGAAAACAAAGAAAGAAGAAGTGGGACCGCTAAACACTAAGGATGGAGTGGAGGTCAAGGATAATCTAGGCATGGCCCAATATCTAAACAAATACTTTGCCTCAGTCTTTAATAAGGCTAAAGAGGATCTTAGGGATAATGGTAGCATGACAAATGGGAATGAGGATATGGAGGTAGATATTACCATATCTGAGGTAGAAGCAAAACTCAAACAGTTTAATGGGACTAAATTGGGGGGCCCAGATAATCTTCATCCAAGAATATTAAAGGAATTGGCACCCGAAATTGCAAGCCCATTAGCAAGAATTTTTAATGAATCTGTAAACTCAGGGGTTGTACCGTATGATTGGAGAATTGCTAACATAGTTCCTATTTTTAAGAAAGGGAAAAAAGTGATCCAGGTAACTATAGGCCTGTTAGTTTGACATTTGTAGTATGCAAGGTCTTGGAAAAAATTTTGAAGGAGAAAGTAGTTAAAGACATTGAGGTCAATGGTAAATGGGACAAAATACAACATGGTTTTACAAAAGGTAGATCGTGCGAAACCAACCTGATCTCTTTCTTTGAGAAAGTAACAGATTTTTTAGACAAAGGAAATGCAGTGGATCTAATTTACCTAGATTTCAGTAAGGCATTTGATACCGTGCCACATGGGGAATTATTAGTTAAATTGGAAAAGATGGGGATCAATATGAAAATTGAAAGGTGGATAAGGAATTGGTTAAAGGGGAGACTACAACGGGTCCTACTGAAAGGTGAACTGTCAGACTGGAGGGAGGTTACCAGTGGAGTTCCTCAAGGATCGGTTTTGGGACCAATCTTATTTAATCTTTTTATTACTGACCTCGGCACAAAAAGTGGGAGTGCGCTAATAAAGTTTGTGGATGAT